CCATTAAATAAATTCATAAGGTGCATGAATATTCAAATTCAAGTTATATAAATAAACGAAATGTCAAGAATTTCAACATCCTCTTAGGATACTATAGTATTCATATTTGGAAAAGCAAGTTACTTTTTGTACACAAATCGCAATTAAAAGATTTGTAGACCATGTTTTCAAGCAATATTAACTAAAGATTTTTGAATATATGAGGAGTCAAATCGATGAAATATTTATGAATGTAAGATCAAAAATATGAAACAGTAACAACTAGCAGAATTCAGCTAAAAATTATTGAATAATATATCATGGAATAATATATTATGTAATAATGCTTGTAAGTAGGGAAAAAAGATGTTCTAGTAAATGTGCACATTGTAATAAAATGGAAAATGTGAAACACCTGATTTTTGAATGTGATAAGGTGGAATACTATAAGCATTTTTTTATTATTAGAAATGCAGTAGAAACGCATTGTTGTTGCATGGATTTTTTTTTCATCAAAAAATTTTAAGACAAAATCTTCAAATTTTAAATAACATGTAGCATATAGAATATAAATATATAAATATAACATGTTATGAAGCTTGACCTCTAAATAAAACAAAATCCAACATAAACAGTCATCTAAAGAAATCAACTTGGTTTTACTCTTCAGCATTATGCTATCTAAATGTAATAATGAGTGAAAAATTTCTGAAAATCTTTCTAAATTCATGTGAAATTAGTCAGAGCCCCGTCCCTAGCAGTTCCTTTATTTCTTTAGATGTAAGTGTATGCATGTTGTTATAGATTAGGATCCAGGACATAAATTAACCTCCCCCCCCCCCCCCAATTCCGTATACTAATAGCAACAAGCAAGACATGTTTGCAATATAACACATTGATAAGATCATTTGACTACGGAATCTTCAAATTTTAAATAGCATGTAGCATATAGAATATAAATATAACATGTTATGAAGCTTGACCTCTAAGTAAAACAAAATACAACATAAACAGTCATCTAAAGAAATCAACTTGGTTTTACTCTTCAGCATTATGCTATCTAAATGTAATAATGAGTGAAAAATTTCTGAAAATCTTTCTAAATTCATGTGAAATTAGTCAGAGCCCCGTCCCTGGCAGTTCCTTTATTTCTTTAGATGTAAGTGTATGCATGTTGTTATAGATTAGGATCCAGGACATAAATTACCCCCCCCCCCCCAATTCCGTATACTAATAGCAACAAGCAAGACATGTTTGCAATATAACACATTGATAAGATCATTTGACTACGGAATGTTCCGTCTACTTGATCAATACATAAGGCTCTGGCGGTTCATAGCTTTTTTACATAAGTAATTAGCCATGACTACGCAATACGTCCCACATAGAAATGTGATTGTGGGAAGAATAACCTCTTGTTCTTGACCTTTGAATGAATAAATTTAAAAATCATAATTACATTCCATTTCTTCACTGAAAGTTGACATATTTATGCAAAATTATTTAGTTTGAAAAAATATAGCGATCACTAAACAGCATAACTTAAATAAGTGATAGCTACATCAATAGTCTATGATTACTGGTCTTTCACTTTATTCAAGAATGTCTTAATCTTTTCTTTATCCTCGCAGTGAATACAGTTAGGTTATTGTATTTCAATGAAAATTTAAACCAAATCTTTTCTTTTGACCTTGGCCTTTGCTCAACATATATTTTATGAGTGTTTTTTTTTTATTTATTCATCTAAGTAAACACAAAACTTTGCGAGAAAAATCTCAAGGTTAAAGATTATCTTGGTCGTTTAATCATTTTGACCTTTGTCCAACAGATTCTACAGTCAACAGTGGTGTAGTTTCCAACTTTCTTCCTTAACAAGTACTATAAATGATATTCCGAATGAAAGAAATACCACAAAAGGATTCTTGTTCAATTGTGCCATTTCATCACAAACTTCCCGGAAATAAACAAATATGTAATGTAAATTCCAAAAATTACATTCATTAATGACTTGAGCTATATATGAAAAGCTTTTCTACAACGGATTCTTCCTTGTTCTTTCAGGGGGAAAACAATTAACTTGTTTTTATTTTTAAGGCGTTAGACGAGGAACTTTGCAGCTGGTTTACTGTTGATTACATACAATGAACTTATTTCTGTTTAATTATGCAAGGTAACAATAAAAACTAATTAATATGTATGGGGTAAATGTGTCGTTCTGGATTTAAAAAAGAGGGTTGTTTTATTATTATCATAACAAACAATCGGTTAAGCAGTACGTGCCTTGAGAGGATGAACGAAAACAATCCTATATGTCTACATTGTGACAGGTTCGTAAATTCTAAATAACATGTAGACTAATTTGATTGTATATAAGAAAATACTAGTAAGTATGGATAACTGGATTTCATGTTAAAACATTTTTTGTTTCTTTCTATCATATGAAAAATATAATTTTACTTATGCATTATAATGTTTCTTCTCAAACCCAATTAATTTGATTAAGCTTGGCCTAATAAAATGTTCAGAATACTTGAGTTGATTACGAATTGAGTAATACATGATAGATTTAAATTAATTTTAACTTAGATTTAAGGTCAGATCATTCTTACTGCATGAAAGTACCACAGAATTATCTCTTACTGTTCGTTTTTTCAATATTTCATTCTATCTCTTTTATGTTTTGCTTGTTTGTTGTTTAACGTCCCTCTCGAGAATTTTTCACTCATATGGAGACACCACCACCTGCCGGTGGAGGGCTACAAATTTTGACCTATACTCGGCACTTAGGGCCATTGAGCAGTGAGGGATCTTTTTCGTGCCAGCACCTACTGCGACACGGGACCTCGGTTTATACGGTCTCATCCGAAGGACCGGTCTCCACGTCCCGAAGTGGGATTCGATCCCGCGACATAAGGATCAACTCCTTACTCTGCGACTCTAGAGCAGACTCTCTAACCAATGCGCCACGCGGGCGACTATCTCTTTTATGTGTTGCTTATAAAAGATTGAATCAAAAAATTTGGATGTATATATTCACAGTTCTGATAAAATATTTCCGACCCCCTGTATTTGTAACCAAGAATCCGTGAATTTTGGGTGAAAAAATATGGGCATGTCTCAATATTACTATGATCAACATTGTCTTTTTGTTCTGAAGAGAATATTAATGTTTTTTTTATTTAAAGACCTTTTACCTCTAAACATGCGTTATGGATAATTTGTTCCTCGATTGTATCATTATCCTAATCCCAAAATCAACGACATAAGGAAAAATGAGTCCAAATAACTTGAGAATGTTTCTTATATGATTAAGTGTGGCTCCGCTACGCTTGAAAAAAATCTTTTTCCTATCTTTTCACACAGTAAAATATGTTTCATTATTTTGATCCATGGCCATGTATTGCTCAGTGGCTTTTGAAGAGATTACCCTAGATTACCCTAACAAATCGAACATTGAATCTTCACTACCTGAAAGTTTATATATATATATATATATATATTAAAAATTACTTATACGTGGCGTTTTTGTTCGTGAAAAGAATAATTCAATTTATATAACGTATTTTTAGATTAAAATTTAATCCCCTAAAGTGGTTCACCCTAGCCCGCAGAGGCCATGATTTGAACAAACTTCAGTCTGACAAACCTGAAGATGCTTAAATATTTATTTGGTTCTTGAAAGAACTCCTTAAAAATAATCCTTATATTTTCCTATTTAAAAGTTTGAATCTCTGATATGAACCAATCCTTCTCACGGGGCCTTGATTTGAACAAACTTGAATCCGCAATACATGAGGATATTTATATACTGAAAATCGAACAGTTCTTAAACTCAAAAGTCCATTGAAACAAAACAAATTGGGAGCAGAGCAAACATGGACCTCTAAAAACATCAGAGGTGGGTTCAAGTGCCCTGGAGGAGTAAGCATCTCCTGTCGACTGGTCACACCCGCCGTGTGCTCCTTGGCATGATCGGGAAAAACAGAAAAATCCGTAGATAATTCATTATGTAAACAGTGGCCTAACAATAAGTGTGAAAAACGTCAGTCAGCTTTCGACTTAATGATAGATTGTGTTTGCTGACAAGGTCATTGTATCGACCATAGAACTTACGAAATGATGACTTCAAACGAGACTGTTTATACCCTCGTTTCATCAAATTATTTGTCAAATAGCTTTTGACTAGCTTTTAACAAATAGAATTTGTCAAATAGCTTGCCTCGTTTGAAGTTTATCATATAGTTTTTTTGTTAAGTTACCATTACCTTTTTCTAGTAAAATATCCAAATATGAAAGAGATGTGTCAGACTCTGTGGTATCTTATATTTCAATTCACTGGGATGTATCAAGTTAACATATGAATGGAAGTAACTATGGATTGAATTGCTGAAGTAAAATAGCATACATAAGAAAAGATTAGGTATTTTGAGCATTTCTTTTTTGCTTTCTGGTAATCATTAACAGATATTGCTTCACTGATATCAAATTAAGGCAAAATTTCATTTATGTATGTCTTCTCTTTAAAACAACGATGTTTTGGAGAAAATTTTTAAGTAATATGGAAAATCATTTTTATTTTCATTAAAGCAGGAATTACTTTTTTGCTTGAAAAATTGTGTTCAGAGTAACCACAGCGATTTATACAACATACATAGCCATCCCACCCGCACGTGTTACTCTTTGTTATTATACGCAGTAACGGGCATTACCAAAAATAGATTTACATATCTTATTCATCGATACGTTAATCCATCTTTATGATAAAAAAAAAACACAGAAAAAAGAGCACATATAGTGATGTCAGGGCTGTTTACGAATGTTATCAAAGTCCATACCACATCATGATTTTTCAATTGTTTAAGACGATCTGGTAGCATTTCTTGCAATTTCTGTTTCACAACTGGTATAATTAGAAAGAGAAGTCTATTTATTGCACCTCCCTTTTTTTCGTTCAATTGAGTACATTTTCTATGTAACAGTGCCCGTAACGAAAGTATTGTTTCATACAAAGTGGTCATGAATAATAATATATTTAGAATAGGATTCGATAGGTTACACGATTATATGTTATGCAAAAGTAAAACCATGAAAACAGTTTTATACAATAGGTCATATTTACCGAATAATTTCTTTTCAGTTTTAGATATATATTTGTACAGTTTATTTTTTTTTCTATGAAGAAAAGTAGATTAAGTTTCCCTTTAAGTGAAACTGATTGACGACAACCAGAATCAGGCTCATTCACGACAACCAAAATCAGGCTCAAAATGATTGTAATGAACTGAAAATAAGAAGATAATGTACATTGAAACACATTTAATGAAATTTATAAACCTAATGTTATGCAAAAGAAATATTCTATTTTATTGTTAAATTCTCTAGCATCTGTTCTCAATACTTCATCAAGCGAAAATTTTATACTTACAGAGAAAGATTTCTAAAACATGTCTGTTCCTGTCAGAAACAGTTTTTAAGGTGAAACTGGAAAAGAAAATTATTTTTGCGAAATAAGATAAATTAATACAAATTTTCTTGAAAACTGATCTGTGTACATGATGTTAATTTATGGAATAATCGTTTGGTCTTCGAGTTTATAAAAGGTGTATAAACATTTGTTCACGTGGTAATTTCCCTAAATGATCGTTTCTGACTGAAATGCCACAAACGACTGAGTGTATTTACAACTCAGGAAACCGAAAAACTAGAAACTAGATTTAAAACACTCAAAGTACAAACCTATCTGACAATGAACGTGAGTTCCTCCGTGTGACCAACCCCCGTAAGCTTCACAAGCGTCCATAAAGGATTTCTCCTGTGCCTTCCGGGTAGATCCCTTGTCCAGTTCAAGATCCACTGCTTCTCCCAAATAATGTTTCGACGTAGTTGAATGACAAGCGCCAGCAATGGCGTTTACCTACATAGTTTTAAGCAAATACAATTAAAGTGTTCAATCTAACTTCAAGAGTGAAACCGTTAAATTTATATTCGAGAAATGGTGTAAATCATATGCAGATTCTAAATAATTCCAAGGAACTTTTAGACAATTTAAAATCACATTTTTTTTAACGTCATTAACATCAAAACATATGACTTTTCTATACTTTATACAATCATTCCTCACGATAAAAAAGCATGCTTTTTGATATCATAGACAACTGCCTATTCAATAAAAATGGAACCCGGAAATTTTCATATCATATGATTGGTCATCAAAAACATTACTTTGTAAAATAACACTTTGATTCTACACAAGTACTCTGAATTTGAATTTGATATTAAAAGGATACTGGAGTTCCTCATTGACAACACCTATGTAGTATTTCGAGACCAGGGCTTTCGACAAACTGTTGGCATTGCAATGGGCACTAATCGTGCTCCTTTATTAGCTGACCTGTCTTTATATTTCTATGAAGCAAACGTACTCAGAAACTTCTAAATGACAAGAATAAAACACTTGAGTTTGCCTTCAACTCGAAATTCAGATATATTGACGAGTAATTTTTATCAAGTGTAAATTTTATTTACTTTCATTCATATATGTCGACTCGATATATCCAAGTGAACTCTAAATTAAAAACACCTCCAAGTCTGCCACATCTGTTTCATATTTGGATGTTTTACTGACTATAGACGAAACTGTATGACAAACGAGATGACTTTAGCTTTTCCATCGCCAACTTTCCTTATTTATGTAGTAATATTCCGTTATCACCTGTATATGGTGTTCATGTCTCCCAACTTATTCGATACTCAAGAGCATACTCTGAGTACGATCAATTTTTAAACCGAGGCAGGCTAATGACAGATAAGTTGATGTTATTTAGATCTCAACAACCTCATTGAAAGCCAGCATTTGAAATTCTTCGGTTTTATAATGACCTCGTTAGCAAATATAGGCTATCACTGGTTGGTATTTTGACTCACATATTTAATAACATTTGTCAGGCATTTGTATTTATGCTGAATTTGTCTACGGAAAATTCCGTCTACCTGATCAATACATAAGGCTTAGGGCGGATATGACTGGTTGACAGGGGATGCTTACTCCTCTAAGGCACCTGATCCCTCCTCTGGAAGTTATGGAGTCCGTGTTTTATGTCCTGTTTACAGATTTGTATTGATTAGGTTAAGACCGATTACTTTTCGTTATTTTCACCTTTTTCATTTCAGTCGAGCTGGACAATAATAAATATAAACTACGAAAGAAATGTCCATTGGCAAGATGTACTTAGTTATTTAATTAGGACATGTTGCAAAAATAAACATTGTCATTGATGATTCTAGGATCCATACTATGCTGATTTTACAAGGTAATAGTCACAAAATTTTAAACGTCATGTCTTTCCGCCTGATTAGTTTCATTTTGTTTTTGTTTTGTTTAGCTTTTTTTAATCTACATGTACAACTAGACAGAGCATACAAACATAGCGTTTTTATGTTTCTCGTCAAAACAATTTCGTTTTCCACAGACCAAATTTAATTACGAAGGCAAATTCAAGTGATTCACATTTTCTTCTCCTTAGAATACTTTTTAACTTTTAGAGCACGCAAATATTCTATTAATACTCAGTTTACGTTTTTATATGAATTTCATACCATTTCTAAAATTTCATTGCGTGGTGGACACATTGAATTTTACAAATATCCAAATATCAAGCATCATTATTTATGAAAATCTATGAAATCAAAATAAGGCAACTTCCCTACTTGGTGATAATGGACAAAATAATATAACCATGGATATAAAATGAAACTGTTTGGTACATCTGAGGGAAACAGAATACTCTTTTGGATTTTTATAATTATCTTTTCCTATCAGCAAGTTTATTGTAATTTTTTCGACAGAAAAAAAATTGCTGATCCACCATTTTTTCTCAAAACTTCAAAATTTACCTGAAAATTGTACTTAGTAGATGCTCCAAGATCATAAATATACCGAAGAATGCTAGGTTTTAGGCAAACAACTCCACCTGGTGATTTTCCTTCACTGCATGTGTAACTACAAATGTTATTTCGATTTTAAAATTCTCAAATTGTATTTTTATCTGTTGAAAATTAAGCAGAGAGTAAAGGTACAGCTTTCTTTGTGATTTCAATACCCACTTTGATCGTTTCGATGGCTTCCCGTTACAAGCATCTTGTATGTTATGGTACGCATCAGCGCCATCGTCGACCCCTGAAGGATTTATTGTCAACAATTTTATTTTTTGCGTGGCCTTTATTTTGCAAGCAATCATTTTGGCTAAGCTGCTACAGCTCTCTAAAATTGTAAAAGAAATTACATCAAACTTTGTTAATTCTACGACGCTTAGAGATACATAGTATACAGGATCGCGTACTTCCACTTGACTGAAATAATATGGTAGTTTAAGTAATGTTTCGTAATGTTAAAAATTGCTGTTACCTACAAAAGTCAGAGAGACTTAATAAGATTGGTAACATCTGGATATGAATAAATATGCCAAGAATGTTCTTTTTTCATGCATCTACAACTGAAAAGTTTGGTAGAAGAACCCTTGTTAAAATAGTTTCATGCTTTTTTAACTCGGCAGTGCAATGTTTAAAGAGGGAAATATTTCTTTTCTAAGCCGGTGTATCTGTCTCTTCCTACATAGGAAATATTGTTTCATGCACAAAAGGAAACAATGACTTGGTTAAGCAACAACTTCTTTGATACCTTTCAATCTTTCTTCAAATTAAACTGTTCCTAAATCAACTGTAAAGGAAAGGCATACTCCATTTTGTCTATCTATAATGACAAATTGTGGGGAGAGTTAGCAGGTCTAAATGCGTCAAAATTATCAAGGGAAACAAAAACCGGTTTGATGTGTCGACAATTTGTCTAGAAGGTAAACAGATCTGAATGTGTCGACAATGCCTAGGGAAACGTAAATCCGTCTGAATGTGTCGATAAACTCTAGCAAGGTACATAGGTGTGAATATGTCGACAATACCTGGGGAAGATAAACAGCATTGTCTTGTGGTTCTGCCATCACAGAGAGCTCTTTGGTACTGTCCATTACAAGACAAGATGTTTTCTTGACATGTTCCTCCTAGTTTCCTGCATGGCACATCATCAGCTTCAAATCAGACAAGAGCATGTACCTATAACCACAGCCTTACCATCCAACAGAAAAAAAACTAATTTATTCAGGATAACAAACGTTTGAACAGTGCTTTAATAAATTAGGGCAAAATATCAGCGTAGCATCCGACAAGAAAATGAAGTTGCAATGAGTGCATAAAATTTTAACAAAGCAGGCAACTTTTTAAATATACTTTTTCATCATACAAGGCATCTTAAATGGTACAATTATTCTAAACACTTCTTTGCTTGAAGGATTACCTAAAAATAATTACATAGTTATACAGGACCTCATAATGAATGTATATCAGTTGTACTCGTAATCTTAAAAGTTGGCTTTCAAGCACCTTAGCTCAGAATGTAAGGTGGTAGTCTTTAACTGTGTTGTGAATAAGAATCCAGCAAAATTTTTGTATGAAATAAAAGTGTGCTTGTTTGAAGAAATACCTTTTTGACCTTGAATTTTGAAATATATAAGTGCTTTCCATGATTAATGATAAAAACACATATTTAAGATAGCATTGACTCACCAATTACTGTGCATAAAATTCCGAATAAAAGAAACATCACAAAACGATTCATATTCAACGGTGCCATTTCAATATCTGGCCGGAAACAAATAAATGTAGCTTCCCCAAAATTACCCTCATAAATGACTTGAGTTATATAAGATTTTACAGAATAACATTTCTAAAGCGGCTTCTTCCTTGTTCGTTAAGGAGGAAAAATAACTTGAATTTTATTTTTAAAGTGTTAGACAAGGAACTCTGTACACAGTGATGGACATGGAACCTCATTAAAAACTTGAGAATATGTTATTCATGTGTGCAGTCCTGGATATACAAGAAATTACAATAGTTTTAGTATAATTATAAAGGATGAAAGGTTATACATTACCAAGAAAGGGTTGTAACGTAAATAAAGAAAACTTTTTATTATTGCAACCTAATTCCTGGATAGTATGTAAACTAATTTGAATCTTTATATAAGAAAATAAGTATGCGGACATCGTATTGCTAATGAAGAAGTATATTTTGTTTTTTGTGACATATGATTATACCATGGACACGGTATCTTATATCAAAGAATAAATTATTGCAACCTAAACCCGAGAAATGTAATTCATAACATCTTTATACTGATAAATGAATACTGCAAAACATTATAGTTTTATGTTTCTACCTTCTTAAAAAAGCATTAATCTTTTCAGATTTTTATTATGAAATGAATGACTAAATGAACTTTACACTTTTTGTCTAGAGTGCTTGATATATATATTTAAAAGCAAAAACATTACTATTCAAAATATGAATGTTTTATCAAAAGTATTTAATTCAAATCCGTCTTTTCAAGCTAAATTCAAAAGTTAATCGATAGCCTACAATTTCTAACCTTCATCACAACGGTTTTCAGTGCAATCAAGGCCCAACGTTTAGGAATTTGAACGATTATATTTCAACTTCTGATATATTTTTTTTTTTACATTTGTATTCATGACTTCATAGATTTCAAGTGAAAAATCTATTTTTTTTTTACTTTTTAAATCTTAAACAAAGTGGCAACAGGCTGAAGAGTGAAAACGCTTACCTGTGTCATATTGTCTATGCTTTTTTTCTCAATATTTTTTTCCTCTTTACTCCCAGGAATTTCTTTAACCCAATCTTGTGGCCCTATCCTGTCCCTTGGAATCTTGAATTAATCCACCCAAACGGGGAATGTCTCAAAATTGATATGAAAACATGGCGTATCCTTTAGGAAATGAAATATGAAGAAAACGAACAGTAATCAAACTCAAAATTCCATCGAAACAATACCAATAGGGAGCAAAGAAGATACGGACCTCTAAAAACATCAGAGGTGGGATCAGGTGCCATAGGAGAGTAAGCATTCCCTGTCGACCAGTCACACCCGCCATGTGCTCATTGTTATGGTTGGGATACGGAAAGATCCGTAGACAACAATTCAGTGTTTTTATAATGGCCTAACAATTAGTATGAAAAATTTCAGTCAGCATTCGACTTAATGATAAATTGTCTTTGCTGACAAGGTCATTGTATCGACCATAGAATTTGCGAAATGATGAGAGTACCTCGATTTAAAAATTGTTCTTACGTGTAGCATGCCTTTGCGTATCATATCAACTGGGAGATATAGACCCCATATGCAGGTGATAAGGGTATATTGCGACATAAATAAGGAAAGTTGACGATGGAAAAGTTAAAATCGTCACGTTTATAATAAAATTTTGTTGATAGTTTAACATTAAGTCTTTTTCTAGTAAAATATTCAAATATGAAATAGATATGTCAGAATCTGTGGTATCTTATATTTCAAGCTCACTGTGATATATTGAGTCGACATAATGATGGCAGTAAATATTGTTAATTGTTAATACGTAGTCGATAAATCTAAATGTCGAGTTGAAGGCCACAGTAAGTGTCTTCTTCTCATGTAGAAGTTTTTGAATAAATTCTGATTCAAATGAATACAAAAATACTTTAGTTAAATTATAGATTGGTTTCTTTTATACATCCTGCTTCCTTTGAAAAGATTCTAAAGAAATTAATTGTATTTTCCCTTGGTTAGACCTTATGCCCTATTTGGTCCTACTCTAGTCAAAGGGATCTTTCTGAACAAACCTGAATTTAATTTGGGGATACTTCATACCTATATGAATAAACATAGCACAGTGGTTCTTGAAGAGAGGACTCTGTGTTATGACCTATCAAACTTGAATCTGCACTACCTGAGCATTGTTACAATTTAAATTGACCAAAGCAAGGCCTTGATGTTGCTTGGAAGATTCTTTTCAATATCTTCCCATGCAAATATGATTCCCTATCGTAGCCTAACTTAAACCCACCGAGGCTATGATTTAAACAAACTTAAGTCTAAACTACCTGAGGATATTTGACTAATAAAATTACTAATCATGGCCATTTTTTTTTTCGTAAAAAGAAAAAAAAATGAAAGATTTTTTCACCACAGAGTCCCATGAAAAACTCTTCTCCTATGACCATAATTTATACATACTTGGATCTACACTACCCGAAGATGCTCTTATATTAGTGTGACTAATTATAACTTTGTTGTTTGAGAAGATTTGTCCTATGTATGTCCTTTTGTAAAATGCTGCTCCCTTATTTTTGCTGCATTCTTTCTACAAGAGCCATGATTTTATTGAATTTACATGATTGAATTTACACACATTATTTTACAGCTTTCACATAGGTTTTGTATTTTCTGGCTTCGAGATTGTTGGGAAGTTCTTAAATAATTTAGTCTTTCTCAATTTCTGAATGATCTCCCCTTGGAAGAAGCGTAGCTCTTTATTTGACCACTTATGAATTTTCTTCAAACAAGGATACTTTGAGCCAACTTATGATGAAATTGACCCAACGGCTCCTTAGGACATATCCAAAATGTGTAAAGGTTACAGACGGAGGGAGTTAGCGCACAGACGAGAGTAAAAACCTCAAATGAGATATAACAATAAAGTAAGATTATCATAACAGTTGTGTAATAATTTTTGTCCTGTTTTACGCTGAATTGTCATTTTTTTACACATTAAGTTTTCTTCTCTGCAAATATAAAACATCTTGCTTCTTTTTCATATTCTCTCTTTCATATAAATGCATCCATTGGGAATATTAATAAGCGTGTGTCTTTCTTTTTCTTTCTTGAATGATGCTTCATCAATTTGTCTGATATACGTTTTCTATAGAAATACAAATAGTTATCATTTAAGATTACAATGAAGATCAAGATATGTAAATGAAATTTATTTTTCAGATTGCAATTAATCATAGCGAGGTGCATGTGTTTCATTGGAATGAACGATTTAGCGTTGATAAATGTAATTGTAAAAGATCTTCCTCCTCTTCTTTTTTCATCTTCGATTTCATCATCAAACTACAAAACATATATTGTCATGATGAATCTGTAACAAAGAGTAGATAATCTGTGCAGACATATTTAATCATCTTTATCAGAAGACATTGTGTTTATTTTTCAAAAGAAAAAAATTAATGTAATGATGATATTATCCATGCTTTGAAATTGTCGAATAAAAAGAAGACTGGCCTCTGGCAATGATGGTCTTCTTTTTTAACCTTGCCCGATAAATATAAAATTGGTGTATTTAGCAATGATGAGATAATATCATCTTTGCTTTACGTTGTGGGATAAATATACGACTGGGAATGGAGATGGTATTATCATTATAACATTGTCAAATAAATATAAAGCTAGTCTACTGAGTACGTGGCAATGGTTATCATTGTAACATTGTCAGATGAATATATATAACTAGCCTTTTTGGCAATGATAATGATATTATTCTTGCTTTAACATTATTAGATATATATAAAATTATCCTCTTTGGAATAATGATGATATTTTCCTTGCTCTAACATTGTCAGATAGATATAAAACTAGCCTATTTGGCAATGCACCCGTGTTCCCCCATGAGACCATCCGCCAACTCTAGTACATGCGTCCCTGAAGGATTTTTCCTGTGCTGCTCTACTGGATCCACTCCCGTGAAGCTGGAAATCTACAGCCTTACATTGGTAGTGTTTTGAATTGGTAGAGTGGCAAGCTTCTGCAATAGCATTTACCTGAAAAAATAAACGATATTAGATAATTAGATTATTTATTAGATTATGTTTATTATTAGATTAAATTTGATTATATTTATTAAAAAACTTTTATTAAAATATATTTATTATTAGATTAAATTAGATTAAATTTAATAAATTAGATAACTTTTATAGCCTGTTGTCACAAACTTTACATAAAACTGTAAGTACCTGCTTTATCTTAAAACCTGAACTATGAATCGGTGACATAAGCCTTTCAGGCAAGTGTTTTAGAAATAACCTCTCAGGTTTTTGACTGGTTAAATATATAGTCTAACGTCCCGGGAAATATGTTCACAAATATCTGGATTTTATCCATATAAAGGTTAAGGGTTTGATTTGAATCTTTATTATGTAATCAATGCAGAGAGGGGGTATGAACAAGTGCCTACTGTGAAAAGGGACCTAGCTAATATTCAAAAGTGCTATACTTTCTTATGAACGAAATGATTATTCTCTACTATAAAGATGTAGTTCGTTCTGAATAAAAGTAATCAAACAATTTTAATTATCTTTATACGGAAGCCGGTTGGTGCCAGGTAGAAAAAATATTTTATCTGGCGGCCGCCAGATAACTTTCTGGCGGCCGCCAAATAATTATCTGGCGGCCGCCAGATAAATAACTGGCGGCCGCCAGAAAGTTATCTGGCGGCCGCCAGAAATTATGTGGCGGCCGCCAGATAACTTTCTGGCGGCCGCCAAATATTTATCTGGCGGCCGCCAGAAAGTTATCTGGCGGCCGCCACATAATTATTTGGCGGCCGCCAGATAAATAACTGGCGGCCGCCAGATCTTTTTATCTGGCGGCCGCCAGAAAATCATTTGGCGGCCGCCAGATAAGTTTCTGGCGGCCGCCAGTTATTTATCTGGCGGCCACCAGATAATTATTTGGCGGCCGCCAGATAAAATATTTTTCTACCTGGCACCTACCGGCTTCCGTATCTTTCAATACAAGTGATCATATATATATATATATATATATATATATATATATA